GAGAGAGAGAGAGAGAGAGAGAGAGAGAGAGAGAGAGAGAGAAAGGGAGAAAGAGAGGGGGGATGCTAGTACGTGTGAGACACTATTACCTGCTTCTTGCTGTTATGTAGTACTCTTGTAATGATGTGACATCGCGCCAGAACGCGACCGTCGCTTTCTCGTGCGACAATCACGTTCTCGCTTTACCTACGAACAGGACAAAGATTAGGGCGATTCGAGGTGTTCGAGCGACGCCAGGAGATGTATTTATAACGAGAAACGTTAATTAGCCACTTAAAACTTAAGGGAACTAAAATCCGGAGAGTTAGCGGAGATCTTATCAGCACTTGTGTATGAATCGTGTTCGGTATATATGTGTGTATGTAAAGTATTCGAAATCCTCGCGCTACCTACAAGCAGGACAAAGATTAGGAGATTCTCAGGCGTTTCAGGAACGCCGAGGTAGAGGTATGTTTACGTGGGAGGAAGGAACATTGATCGACGACTCGCTTGAAGTGTTCGGGATCGGCGAAGTTAACTTTAAATGTGGGAGTTTATTCGGAACATTTGGATATATTAAGTATGTATCGTACTCGATGTATGTGTGCATATGCGTACGTGCGTATGTGCGTGTGAATGTGTGTATGTGTTTGAAAGAGAGTGAGAGAGATGTTGAGATATTTAAAGCGTAAATCCATATTTAAAGGAAACTTTTACGTAACGCGCGCGAATTTATATACACAATATACAGGGTGTCCCAGATTCGTCTCTGCAATGTTCATGGAAACGTAGGATGGATTGAAGTATAGCTCAATCATTATTGCGATTTTCGCAAAACGATATGGGACGTTCAATCCGTTCTATGTTCCCACGAAAGTTGCTGGGACGAATCTGAGACATCCTGTATAATATATACATATACATTTCGATAAACTCTCTCAGAAATGAGTCGGCCCCGAAATCCGCGGTTTGAATGTGTATCTGGATTCAGAGGACGGGACTCGCGGATTCGGGATCGATTGATCTCAGTGTCGAATTCAGGGATTCGAAGAGTGGATTCGCGGTCGAAGCAAATCTTTCCGGGGTTGATCTCGTTTCGCCTGTGTGAATCGTCAAAAAACGCGACAGCGAACGCTTCGAGGAGCGTTTTGTCTCTTCTTTTTTGTTCTTTCCGATTTCCCCGTTAATTTCATTTCGCAGTCCATCCCGCCGCACGATATAATTTCCGCCCTCGTCGTTTCGCTTCTGTCTACACTGCGCGTTTATCTTTTTATCAATTATTCCCTTTACGCAGCGATATGCACACACACGCTGTTGAATATTAATCGGCAATTTTCCGTATGCGGGCCATAAATATTTATGATTTTTCCCGCTCGAGATGGCGATGCGCTTAATGGTCCATTAAGCGTTATGCGAGATAAGGCGAGATCGCGTCCACGACGGGTGTCTCTTTCCGCGCAGGACGCTGAACGACGGGGAGAATATCAGGGGCGAGTTTTATTTTTCAGCCTTTAAGAGGCCCATGTGCACACATAGCTGTGTACGCTTACTTTGGATCCACTGCAAATGTTTTATATTGACAAAGTGATGATTGCGTTGATACAATACTATCGACCCATCCCAGCTAGAGTTACATCCTTCGTCTCAAATCGTGCAACAGCGATTTTTCCGCTGAGGAAACCAATATGGCGATCGTGTGCAGAGTAGAACCGCTGACGCTCAAGATTGTGTGAAGTTTCTCAGGAAAAGAGGTGAGCAAATCTTATTTTCTCAATTTTTCATCGATGTCGTTTTAACCATACAACACTACACTTCTTTTCAGTCCCTACAAGTTTCAATATCTGTATTTAAAGACCAAAAATAACAAGAATTGGGTACTACGGTTTTATTAGTGTTTGGTGCTCTTTTATTTTACATTTATGGTTATGAGATTTATTAAATTCTGTAGCTAAAGCGCACAAACGCGGATGTACAAGATGTTGCATCAACATACAGTATGGCGAATAAAACTATTTGCAACATTGTTTTGGATTTGTTTTAATGGTAAAAATGAGTGTAATTTGGTTTGCAAACGAGTATATCGCCAAGTCCGAGCTGTGTTCGGGCATGCACATCTGCCAGTAAAGCGAGTAAGCAACATATGGACCAATATGTTGATGCAACACCACACGGAAAAAGAATTCCAGTTTGTGTAATTGAATGGAGATCAGACGAAAAACTCGCTGACTAAAATAATATATCTGTTACCGAAAACATTTGTTTGAATATTCAACTACATTGAAACTCGGTTGAGGTGGAAATAATTGGATGAGTAAAAAACTACAGAAATCTTCCGAGCATTTCATCTGATTGATCAACCAGATAATGGAAAATTCAGTTACATTAACGAGGTTTTTTCTTCCGCGCGCACATACATAATTATGTACATCCAGAAAACTGTACAATTTGACGATCAATTTTATTCGAACTACAAAACTCTTCATCAGTAATGTCTCTTAAAGTTATTTTGCAAAAACAATTTTCTTACTCGAACGGGATCGATCCATGGGCTTCGAAAGATTAAATGGGACGCGCGAAATTTTCCAGCGTGTCGAGATACGTTTATATGCATTAGTGGAAAAGGAGGTTAGATAGAATATTCGAACAAGATTAGTCAATAATCAATAATGTCATGGATCGACGCGATCCGCATGACAGAACTCATCGTTGAACAATCGCGCTTAACTAAATGTATGCCGCTGAATTTCTACGTTTAGCATGTAAAAAAGCCCGTGAGAGCAACATTAGGTGTATTAAATAACGAGAGAGAGAGAAGGAGAGAAAGGAAGAGAGAGGCTGCTTTGGGATGATACAGTTAATTAAGTGTTAATTTGGAATAACAAACACACATATCATCGTTACCATATTGCTACATGTACTCCAATGAGAAAAGTCCTCGAAAGATCGCGCGAATAATTTATTTATTTAGGAGAGATATTGAAGGAAAAAATAATAAGAAATACCAGAAATACTCAGGATACTT